ATCTATGCTTTGGGTTTCTTGCGCCAGCCCCCAGAACATCCAAGGCGTCCCAAGAGTCCCGCGAGACGGCTCAAGGACAGTCCATGAGCGCTTCTGGGGCCTAGGGAAAGTGCCCTCAACGAGCCCCCGACGCCCCTGGGGACTGGGGTCCTTGAATAACCCGTTGGATGTTTACGATGATTCGCAGCGACATGAGGCCACTCCACTTCGTACCTCGCGGCACGGTGGCGGATATTGTTAAACGTGCGTGTGCGTATGCTCTCCCTGCTTGAATCCCTCTCCCGGGGCTGTTTACGCAGCAGCATACATGCATGCGCACCTACAAACATACCGCTGCGTGCTCTCCTCCCGCTCCGCTCTCGTGCCAGGGCTTCTGCTGGCGAGTCGATTCGTTCGACTTGCTCGCCCCAGGATCTCTCGACGCCTTCTCCTGTCTTTCATTCCGAGTCGTTTTTGTTGACGGCCCCTGGACCTGCAAGCGACGCACATGACAAAGCACCGCTGCCGTGCTCTCAGCTGGGGCAACGCTAGGGTGGGGTTAGGCTCATGAAGGGGGGGCATCGACCCCCAATCACCCACTCATCGCCGAGAGGGGCCGATGGCCCACCCCGCCCGGGAACGTGCGGATTCGCTATTCGCCGATTCATCGGCGACGCATGGCCTTTTGCAGGTCGACGTTCCCCCCCCTGAGCTGTTCCCCTCCTAGAGGAGCCCGTCACCCAAAGTCGCCAGAGGTCTGCTGGGCCCGGGCCGCGCCGTGAGAGGCCGAGTTCGAGGCGTTCGCGCGCTACGCGGTGGTCATGGGGTACCTGGAGTACTGCCAGGAGAGGGGCCGCCCGCTAGCCGACGGGCAAGCCGCCGCTTGGCCTGAAGTGGAGAGTAGAGCAGGAGTTGGGGGGGAAACGGGGGGCGGGGGACGCAGGGGGGAAGGAGCCAACGGGATGAGGAGGGAGTGCGGAGGAGGACGCCATGGCCTGATTCGCCCCGAAATCAGAACAGTTTCCAGTATGTAAAGTGTTGCACATCCTGGAGGCCTCCGAGGGACGAGCCGTGTACCTCTGGAGACCTCGGCAACTGGGAGCGACCCACGCCACCGGCGGCCCACCGACGCCCGCGGCGGCCAGCGGCGAAGGGGGAACCCTCGCTCGTTGCTCCCGCTTCGCTCCCCCGACCGCCCGCTCCCTCGCTCGCTTGCTGGCTGCGGCTACCTGGGCTCGGCCCATCCTCCTCCTCCGCCTCCTCCTCCTCCTCCGCCTCCTCCGCCCTCCCTCGCCGCGCCCCCGTGCTGACACGCCCGCCGCCCCCCAGCATGGCCGCCGCCGCCGCCCACAGCCGAGAGACCGCCGCCGCCCTCTCCCGGCCACGGCCTGGAGGCCGCCGCGGGCCACCGCCGCCGCCGCCGTCGGCCCCCGCAGCGCCCGCGCACGGCGCCCTCGTGGGCCGTGCGCGCGCTCGCGCCCGCGGCGCGATGGCGCGGCGGCGGCCGCCGCGGCTCGGCCCGGCGGCCTGCCTGGTCGCCGCGGGCTTTGGCGCGGTGTCGGCGGTGCGCCGCCCGTGGGCGCTGGCCGCCTCGTCGTCGTCGTCGCCGTCGTCGCCGTCGTCGTCCTGCTCGCCGTTTCCCGATCCGTCCTCCTCGCCATTCCTCCCGTCCTCCTCCCTCCTCTACTTCTACTTCCCATTGCGGAGGAGGTCGGTGACTCACCTCAGCCCGCACAAGACCTGACCCTCCCGCTGGGTGGCGCTCCAGGGGGCGCCAGCCACCTACGTCACCAGCGGGAGGGCAGGCCAACTCAAACATCCCACCTCTCGTCCCTCTCGGAGGCGGGCGGCCTCGTCCGCCAGATGCTCGGGCGTGTGGCTGACGCGGGCAGCACACTCGCTCTCACTCCACCGCTCCCCCCACGACGACGACGACGATCACGTCCCCACCCTTCCACCGCCCAGGGTCTGGAGGTCGGCCGCCGACGTGGTGGCCAGGATGGCCACATCCGCTGAGGTGGCGGGCCTCATTGGGCCTATCGTCGACCCTTTGTATTGCGGGGCCTAAGGCGGGAAACCGCCTTTCCTGACACGGCCCAGTTGTCGCGTCAGTGCGATGGTGGGCGGGGTGCAGCGGCGGCTTAAGGATTTGACCGCCCCCCATTGTAACCCCAGCACTTCAGACACACAAGGACGGTCCCCCCACCAACCACACGCTCACCATCAGGGCCAAACACAGTGGCCTTGCCCAGCGTATGACCGAGCAGGTTGGTGAGGGCAACCAAGTCGTCATGCTGGGGATCCGTGAGAGCAAACGGGCGGGCACCGCTCCGAACGCTCGGCAAGGTCAGCTGCTGGAGACGAGCACGGCCCGAACCGACCCCATCAGGCCCCGAGAGATCGTCGCAGTCTCGCAGCCCTCTGTCGGCCCTCCAGGCCTCGTGCTCGCCAGCCCAGCGGGTCGCCTGACTAGCTACTGACTCCAGGACTCGAAGCTTCACGGCAACATCCGCAGTCGGAGGGTGACAATTGGCTCATAGTTTGGCTAACCTGTCCGCCTCGTCAGAGCCACGCTTCTGGAATGGGGTTCCGAACACCCTCGCCACATCGCTCCACGTCGAATGAGCCTTGATCTTCACAGCAGGGGGTGGCTCCCCGTGAAGGACACGAAAGAAACGCGTCCACATGTGAGCTCGACTGCATGCTGCACTGACCGCAAACTTAGGCGATCTGGCAGCTTTCACTGTGGCGGCGCAATCTATATGGTAGGTCGCTGGCCCCGTGACACATCCAAGGGCGACGCGACCATATACAAAGCGTAATCCTCCCCGTCCCTGGCCGCCTGCCACCGGGCCATCTCCCACGGGACCACTCCGTAGCAACCCGCGCTACAAAGCCCGTTGTCATCCACCATGGCCAGCCCGCACCCCGCACGCGTGAGTAACGGGTTGGATGGGTCGAGAGTTGAGGCATCGGCGAACATATTGCCCGACAGCCCTTCCATCGGCGGAGCGGTTGACCCAAAACACGTCAGCATCGCTGCTGACGAGAGGGAGGGGGTAGCCAGCTCGGGGACGATGGGGAAGATGCCAGCAGCGGCCTTCTCTAGGTCTTGGTTCCAGGCCTCAAGGTCAGACATGCAACGCACGAGCAAAGGACTGCAGCAGGTCGCACGCTGGGCCTGGCACGCATCACATCGGTAGCGCCTGTGGAACAGTGTGCCAGGCGCCGACCCGCAAAGCTTGCAGAGTGGCGAGTCAACATACCCAGGCCTGTGCAGTCGCTCCTGGGGCCAGTGGCACTGGGAGACACAATTCCGCAAGGCCTCCTGCCTGCGGGGGTCCCAGGCCACCTTCGACCCTTCAAGCAAACCTAGGAGAGGCTTCCACATGATGGGCCTGGACCAGATCTGAGAGCCAGCACGCGCCTGAAGAGCCACATTGTCCGACCGAAATCGAGAGGCCCGCTGGGCTAGCCAGCCAACCTGCAATGGGGCCAATGCTAGCAAGTCTACAGGCATGCCTGTCTCAGTCAGCCATCCGAGGCCCCTGAGGATCAAGGTAAAAACGTGCACAGGTGACCGAGCGGCTCCCCAAGAGAACGTACGACGGGCTAGTTCCTCGAATGCCGACTCGGGCACGCTGCATGATGCTTAAAGACGGCCTACCTTCCCAGATGGCCTGGCCCAGTACAGGACCACGCCCTTGTGACATATAGCCTGGGGGTCCATCTTCTGGCGGAGGAGCAGAGTCGCAGGCCTGTCGAGGCCGTCCCCTTGACAGGTGCAGAGATCCTTCAGCCGCCACCCTCAGTCTGTGCATGCTACTCCCCTTGACGCCCGAGACGGTGGCACCCCAGAGGGCGCACACCTGAGGGCCCGCACGTTGCACTCCATGGACCTGAGCGGGGCCCCGAAGTCGACGAAGTCGCCAGCTACGCTTGAGACTTTTGCGGGGGCGAGCTGCAAGGGTTCCTGTACGGCGCGCTCGATCGAGCACAGGTCGCATCGGACCCGAGGTTCCTGGTCACCACTTGCCACTTGAACCCCAGAGAGCCCCAGGCCTTCTGAAGCTTCGCACTGAGGACAGGGGTGGAGGCCAGGAAGTGGGACTTACGGTCCGCCAGGACCAGGTCCAGTTTTTTGTTACCCTGGACAAGCTTCTTTCCAACAGCCCCGAGCTCCTGGGCAATATGCCGGTCGGAACCAATCCACTGGGCATGCACGCCGTCGACGACATTGCGCACGTGCAGCGTGGGGTGCTCATCATGCAACTGTCTAATCAACCTGTAGAGCGTGACCTTCGCCATCGTCGTGGCCAGTGAGCACCCCGCAAGTATAGTCCCGACTGAATCCTCCTCCCTCCTCCTTCCCCCTCCTCCCTTCCTCCTTCCTCCCTCTTCTCTCCTTTCTTCCTCCCTTCCTCCTCCCTCCTCCTTCCTCCCTCCTCTGCCCCCCTTCCCACGTCCGCCCTCCCGCCTTCCCCCCCTCGTCCTCCAACGCTCCCTTCCTCCTCCGCTTTACTTTCTGAATCATCCGTCTTCGGGCGTGCTGTTGGCAGACATCACACTCGAACCGTTTTTCTGAAGGAGCCCACTGTAATGTTTCCACAGGGCGGGGTCCTGCGATTCCGTCAGTGGTGCGGAAGAAGGGTCTCTGCATGGAAGCGATGCAGGACACCGCTAGGATATCGAGAACAGGGAACAACCGCAATGGGACGCTCCCCCTTTTCCTTCCCTACCCCTTCCCCCCCTCTCCCCCCCTCTCCCCCCCTCTCCCCCGCGCCCTCCCCCGGTCCCACCCCTCCCATCCCTCCCATTTGTCGTTGGCGTGTCGTTTGTCGTCCTCGCCGTCGTCGTGCCTCTTCGTCGCCGTCGTCGGTGGCCGTCCCCTTTCTGCCTGGACCTCGTGCCCGATCTGGGCGCACGCGAGGCCGACCTGGAATCCCATCGAACCCTCCCCCCCCCCCTCTCCGGTCGCCGGGCTGCCGCCCGCGGGCTCCCGTACGGCAGTCCCCCGCCGCCGCCCGTCGCCGGCGCCGCGGGCCACTCCCGGCGAGCGCGGCGGGCCCCGCGCCGCGGGCGCCCCCGACGCGGGGCGCGGACCTCCACCTGGCGCCGCAGAGGGAGGCGACCAGCGCGGCGCGAGGGGGGCGGTCTCCGACATCCTCGCCTCAAACCCGCGTCCTATCTCCTCCCTTCATCCCTCTTCCTCCCTCTTCCGCAGCCCTCTCTCACCCACCCTCCCCTTCCTCCACCAGTCATGAGTCGGCGGCGCGCCGAGGGGGAAGTGACCCTGACATCTGGGCGTTGCAAGTCTTTCGTGGCGGGCGTTTCCGCCCGGTTTCGGGTGCCGGGACCATCACAGATCGAACCGGTTCGAACAGTGGCGATGAGATTTTTCGCGATGTTGCATTTGTTGTCAGATCTCAGGGGTGAGGGGCAGACCTTCTCAGAAGGCGGCGGGGCTTCCCAAAGCTCTCTGGCCTTCTGTTCTGAGGATCCGCCTCCATCCCCTGAAAAGGCTTAGACATCTTTTCAGAAAGCCGAAGGTCTTATGAGCTTTCTAAGAATGCCAGCCCTTTCTGCCTCACCCCCTGTGCGCGCCGCCAAGTAACAGGAGTTTGGCCATCTTCGGCGTCTGTGAGGGGCCCTCCACCGGGCACCAGAACCGTCAGAAAACGGCTCTGGATGAAAAACTCGCCCCCGTGAAGAATGTCCAGGCCTGTTGGGTGGGCCACGTCGGGAAGAAAACACAACGTCGGACGTCTGGGTTGGGGGGGATGGTGGGCGCCCAGGAGGAGGAGGGAGGGGCTTTGGTGCCGCTTCCCCCGTGGGAGCGATGTGACGTGGCCGAGGCGGGGAGCGAAGGAGTTATACAGGGAGCGGCGGGCTGGGGATGGGAGGGAGCTATGGAAGGAATAGCACCAGCGGAAGAAGGAAGACTTGGTGGCCTTTATAGATTGCCCTCTTCGGGCAATTCAGGGGTCAAAGGGGGGAGGGAGGAGGAAGGGGCAGGGATCATGTAGCAAGGAAGACGGGGAAAGCGGAAATTTGAGCGAGGAGGAGGAGGAGGAGAAGGAGGAGGAGGAGGAGGAGAGGGGAAGGAGGAAGAGGAGGAGGAGGAGAAGTCCTTCCTCATCCGTCCTCCTTTGTGGTCGTGTTCCAACTCTCTCCGCCTTCGTCGTCCTTCTCTTTTTCTTGTTCCCTCCTCTATGGTTGTCCTTCTGCCTCTCCCGCCTCCCCCATATGCATCGTCGCCATCTTCCTGGTTATCATTGCTTTGTCGCCGTCATCCGCCCTTATTGTCATTTTGTCTCATCCTCGCTCTTCCTTACCCTTTTGTCATCCCCGCTCATCCTCGCTCATCCTCCCGACATCGTCGTCAACTTCCTCTTCATCATTCCTCCTTTCTTGTCTTCGCACGCGTACAACCCATCCTTACCTGTTGGAGAACTCATGGTGGGGGATGGCGGTGCTTCTCGACACTGTTCATGCTCTACGCCTTGGCTTGGAAACACCAGGAGCATTCGCACAGCCGCGTTGCCGCGGCCGCGACTTACATATTCAGCAGTTGTCCAGGCGACGAGGGGATCTCCAGCTCCTAGTCGGGCAAAGGCCCGGAGGCCTACCCTGGGTTCCTCCTTGACTCTTCTTATCTGGGGTACCTAAACGTGCACACATCGAAGCTGTTGGAAGCCAGGTGCGCCATGTCGCTGATGCAAAACGTGTTCTGCGAAAGGAAAACCTGGCGTATCATCCGACCTCCTCGGACCCCTCCCTGGGTGGCAAGTGCCTCCCTCCTGGTGATCCTCCTTCCTGCTTCCCTGCTGGCTCCTCAGGGGCGCGCGCGAGGCCAACCGGCTTGCCATCGAAGGGGGGGTGTGGGAGGTCTCCAGCCCCGGGCCCGCGCCTCCAGGCGAGGCGCCGTCGCGGGGACCTGTGGAGGAGGTCACGGACGTGTTCGGGGCGCTGTGGAGGTTGCTGGCCCTCCTCCTCCTCCTCCTCATCCTCCTCCTCATCCTCCTCCTCCTCATCCGACTTCCCCTGCCGCCGCTTTCAGGATCCGCCTCCGATGCGCTTCCTGATCCTTGTAGTTATCATTTTCCTTATCATCCCCCTCATCATCATCAACATCATCGCTCATCGTCAACATCATCATTACCACCATCGGCTTCAGCAGCAGCAACATCAGTATCAGCATCAGCATTACAATCATCATTACCATTATCATCATCATAATCGTCAGCATCATTATCGTCGTCGCCATCATCTTCACACTCATCATCATCGTCATCATCGCCGTCATCATGGTCATCATCACCATCATCAGCGTTACCATCATTCGCATAAGCATTACCATCACGATCAACCTCATCATCGTCATCATCATCAAGATCGTCATCATCATCATCATCAGCAGCATCATCATTATCATCCTCATACTCACCATCGCTATTCTGAAAATTATCATCGGCATCAGTGGCATCGCCATCATCCTGTTCAACATCATCATCACCATCACCATCACCAGCATCATCCCTAGCAGCACCATCAGCATCATCATCATCGTCCGGCAGTTGGTACGTGCAGCATCATAATCGGCAGTAGCAGCATCATCAACAGTCGCATCATCATCAGTTGTATCCGGACATCGAACATACCCGCATCATCAGCATCATCATCACCAGCAACCTCACAACCGGTACCTCCACAACCATAACCATAATGTTCAAGAGATGTATACCAGCAGCAGCATCAACAGCATCCGCAGCATCAGCATCATCAGCAGCAGCATCAGCATCGCTACCGACATCACCAACACCATCAGCATCATCAGCCCGACGGTGTAAAAGCCTGCCTTGGCGCAAGAACGTGTCGGGTTTGGTGCTCCGGTGTCTTGGTCGATATATGCCTGCGTCATTGGGTCTTGCTCGGCCCGTAGTGAGTAACATGTTCCAAGAAGGTCTCTGCTCATCCCCCCTCTCATCCTTCCCCTCTTCTACCGCTCTCCCCCACCCTCTTGCTCCTCCTCCTCTTGCTCTTTGAAGGTCGCGGATCAGGCGTTTGCATGTCTGTATGTGTTTTTCTCGTTGGGTTCCTAGGCTCTCCAAGAACTGCTGGGACGACCGCAAGAGATATCCTGGCTGCCCGTCTTCCGCCCCCCATCGACGTTTGCGGATTGTGTTTTCTCCCCGTGGCTGGGTGCCCGCTTACCGTCCGAAGACGACTCTGGACGAAGAGCTGGCCCAGAGGAAGAGGAAAGAGTTGTGCGTTTCCTCGTCTGGTACATGATGAAGAAGATGGTGAATGGAACACCCGAGCTCTGGGGCAGCCCCATAACGGACAACGGTCCCCACCACCAACTCCACGATCAGCAGCACCAAGAAGGGCCTGCCGATGTGGTGATGGATGAAGCATTTCGTTCAGACCTTCTCCCAAGATCTGAACACCCAGTTCGCAAGCGGCGGTTAGCATGGTGGCTCTCATTTCCGGGCTCGGGTGACAACTGAAAGTCGCCCATCCGTCTTGGCCATCACCCCCGGGGCTGACGACCAGAAAATATCAGGCAGTCCGTGACGCTCGCCAATGGCACGCCGAAGGCGTTGGTACTTCGGGCATTCGGCCCACAAATTACGAAATGAGGGATTGATGTCCTGGCAATGCTTCCTAGGTGATCCCGTTCTTCTGCGTGTCTCCGAAGCTACGGCCCCGAAAAGGTGGTCAATGATGCCCTTTGCTCTTCCGATAACTGCTTCACAAACTTGTAAAGGTTGGGCGAGGTTCAGCATCGATGTCTACGTCGAGGATGTCTGGTGCGTTTGCCCGCTTACAACTAACTATCGTCAAGCACCGAACTCGAGCAATACTCCTCAGCAAATGTTCGATGCGCTTGCTGTACCTCGGCTCGTCGGGTGTGTGCGTCCAGAACTGGCCTCCCGTTGTTTCCACGAGACTCGGCGGTCATCGTTTTCTTTCACTTCCAGGAGACATCCACGACCATCCGCATATCTGAGAACGAAGGTCGGTAACGGCCGCATGTTGTTGTACAGAGTTTTCCAGGAACGTAGACCAGCACAGCCGCTCGTCCACAATCATCCGCTCTGGAGGCGGGGCCAGCAGGGGGCAACCCCTCAGCCAAAGGCGACGGATGCACGTGATAGCCAACCTCAGACGCACTGCGGCGCCGTGGCGCGAAGACAGGGGACAGGGGCACGAAGACAGGGTCCGGCCCCAACCTGCACGGGGCCAGATCGTGTGCGCGGGGTCGACAGGCATGGCCATGACCCCGAGGTGTTCTATCAGCATTGGCGCAGCATCTGAACGCGTCCACCGTTGCCTCTTGGACTGGTTCTCCCCGAAGCCCACCGCCGCGTCGAAGGACTGCGTGGTCGGCGTCGAAGGTTTCAACCGTGGCTGGCGCGATGGCTCGATCGCCCATGTAGCATGTTCCTTGGCGCGGATGCCACGGCGTCAACGACGAAGTCAGCGCGCCCGGGGCAACCGAATCACCCTGTGGCAGTCCGCGCGTGGGCCATATAGGCGGCGCCGGCGCCTGGGCCACGCAGCGGCGCCTTGGCCCCCGCCAGGCGGCTAGGGCCGCGAAGGTCACCGCCGAGGGGCTCCACTGCAAATGCAGCTTTGGGCGCCAACAGCGAAATCGATGCTGTCGCAGGCTTTGCTCAGATTCAGGTCGGCCCCAGCCTCCACGGAATCGCAGTCGTGGAGCCAGGGCGAGAGGGCATGGACAACCGAGGTCTCGTGGCGACCTGCGCACTGATTGCCAGGTGGCTGCGACGTGCCCTTGGCTGGTGCATGCAACCGCCCCCGCGCCGAGATCGAGCCCGCGCTGACGAGCCTGAACTCAGTCTCTTTCTCGGGGACCCCCGCGACTCTCCAGGGACAAATGCACCCCGGCCCGGCGTTGGACAGCGCCCCCTGGCGCTCGACATGAACCCGTGAAGTGAGACGCCGCAGATCGCAATGGCCCAAGATACCTGCAGGAAACAAACGTCGCACAGTTTGAACCCGCATAGGAGCCCCATGACAGCGCCCAATGTTGTGATCAGAAGACTCAGAGGAAGGAGTACAGACGCCACCCTTGTCGCTCTGTGGGAAGTCCACGCTGGTCGCCAACATCATGCCAGCGCGCATAATGGCCAGCGGCGTCGCGGGGTCCGGGATCTGGAGCCCATTGCTTTCCCTGGCGTCGTCTCATCTCGCCGACGTCGGAGGGCGCCGTCGGCGAAGCAGCGCGGAACACGGGCGTAGCTATTCGGTGCGCGTCCAAGGACCAAGTGGCGAAACGTGTCTTCCACCCCCGAGCATGCGAGGCCTGCGCCTGGGCCTGCTCCTTGGAAATGCCCCCAGACACCGCGTTGAGCGACTCGCCGTTGGTCGGGGCCCCGCGCAGCGGGATCTCCAGGATACCCTCCATGGCAGCGCGATCCGCCCGCTCGCGCAGGCTGCCGTCGGGGGGCGCCCGGGGTTCAGAGCGTTCTTACTGTTGGGCTTCTCGGGCACCTGACGATGCAGTCTGAGTATCCCTCGTAGTGTCATGGTAGGCGACCCATGCGACAATGCTTGGCAGGCGACCCATGCGAAGTCGGTCCGATCGAGGCACCCGATCCTCTGGGCCTCTCCGCAGCACGAGAAACAGTGGCATAGTCCTCCCCCGGCGCCAGCTGCATGGCGGTCTCCGCCTTCTCGCGCCAGTGCTTCCAGACTGTGGCCAGGCCGTCGTCGGCCATGTCGTGCAGCGCCGGGCCATCCGACTCGGCATTCTCTGTTCACGCAAGGCCTTCCTCCAACAGGTCACCCCGCGTCTGGGAGATGGTCCAAGGCATGCAAAGTGGCGCGGCGCAATCGATGCTGCGGGCGACGGTGCATCGGCCTCTGCGACTCAAACTTGACAAGGCCGTGGGAAGGGACCCCAGGCAACATGGGCATACTGAGACACTTCGGCTACACAGGCACATGGGTGCCCGTAGCACGACACCGCGTCGGCTAAGCACCATCCGAAGTGGTCGCGGTCGTAGCAGGCGTTCGGGGCCATCCAGGCCCAAGTGAGTCTTTGTAAGTAGGTCGCCAATTCATATCTCCAACCAGATGCGCCGGCACTCCCTACATTGCAATACGCTGCACATCGCCCACGAAGCGCCCCCGCCATGTGACGTCTGATCCCAGTGGGCCGTATGCTGAAATATCGATAGCTCGCTCCGTCGTGACACTCGCCGTGCGATGGCCGACGAGCTTATCGCGCATCGCTGCCACCTTTCCCGCGCTCGAGGGCATCCGCGCAATCGCGGTCAGTGGCGCAGCCGCCTCGTCGGACAGCACGCCTGCTCGATGGAGGTGGCGGTGGAGAACATGCCGCAGACCATCCATTTTTCCCAACCCTCCTGCGTTGGGTACTCGTTTTGAATAGAGCACTGTGGTCACCACCTTCCTCCTTCTCCTCCCGCCTCCTCCCGCCTCCTCCTCTCTTCTCTCTTGTGGGGCTGCGATATGTGAAACTGTCGCCACTTTCGGGGGTTGCTGTGGTGCCGAGCGGAGTGACGCCCTACGGGGGCTCAGATTAGACCTCGCCATCCCTGGTGAGGCTGCGATCTGTGAAACTGTCGCCGCTTTCGAGGGCTGCTGGGGGGGCCCAGCGGAGTGACGCCCTACGGGAACTCAGATTAGACCTCGCCATCTCTGGGGGGGCTGCGATCTGTGAAACTGTCGCCACTTTCGGGGGTTGCTGGGGTGCCGAGCGGAGTGACGCCCTACGGGGACTCAGATTAGACCTCGCCATCCCTGGTGGGGCTGCGATCTGTGAAACTGTCGCCACTTTCGAGGGCTGCTGGGGGGCCCAGCGGAGTGACGCCCTACGGGGACTCAGATTAGACCTCGCCATCTCTGGGGGGGCTGCGATCTGTGAACTGTCGCCACTTTCGGGGGCTGCTGGGGTGCCCAGCGGAGTGACGCCCTACGGGGA